TTTTGGACAACGAGAGCTCCTTGCACGAGAAACGCAAGAAGCGCAAGCGTGAGCTTGTACCGCACGTAGCGTCAGGATTCTGGGCAAAGCGTTAAACAACAAGTGCAGTATTCAAATGACGAACTCCAAAAGCACAGGTGCTGAAAGTGCTAAAAGGATTATTCAACCAATGCCATTTTCCTTCTAAGAATCAGGAATCCCAAGCGCATCTGGTCGCTCATAGAATTTATTACCAAATTTCTAGCATGTTTAATTTATCTTTCCGTACGAATTCTGGATACTGTTTTGTGGTAGAAACATGGCAGAGCGCTTCGTCTTACTACCAAAACACAGGCCAATACACTTGCAATCCTCATCCGTAGCGCATGGATTCCCAAATTCCTATATCTTTGCCTCCAAGCATGTTCCCTGAATCTCAACATAGTTGTGGGGAGGTGATATTAGAGATACAAATTATGCAATTTTGTAGCATGCACTCACATGCTTTGTAGTGAGTAGTACTGGTGCCATATTTACTTACACGGTAGTGGTGAAATTGTGTTATATGAGACCAGGGCTACCCCCTGTTTCTGGGCGCAGTTTAACATTCTCCAAATTTCAAGCAATTTGCTGAATAGATTGGATCACTGGCCAGGCAGCGACCTTCTGCTCCCTGATCTCTTTCGGATTGTCCTAGATAAAACACATGAACATTTCATTTTTGGCCAGCAACAATTTCGCATTTGTCGGGTATTGTATGATCCTCCGCATGTAAGTTCAATGACGAAATTCGGAACGCAAACATTGTCGTAAACAAAGCGATCATCCTTCGAAACATTTCGCGGTGATACCTGAGAAGATTGCTTCTGACTTTGTATGTTGGCTTGATAATCATTGAGGGTTTCTCGAGAAAGTGTCCAGACCATCTGTTGAAGAGCCGAAAGTATTTCGGACTTGTAGATATGAGTCAACTTTTCTATAATTCTCACCGAATCAGAATCTGGGATCATTGGCTTGAATTTTCGACTATAGTATGCAATTATTTAGATACCATTACCATGCGACGGCCTGCAAATCCGGTGAAGGCCGACCTCGTTCAATCTATTTCACACAGCTATCGATCTAACACTGGATCGTAACGTCGCCAGAAATCATGTGAATTATTGAAGAGTTTGGTCCCTGTTGAGTGCGCTCAAAGACCATCAAGTGTCAAAGTCAATAATGTTCGTTATGGCATCTCAGTTCCAACTTGATTGTGATCTGGTTCGTAAGGCGATTTTCTCCTCTAACCGGCTCAATGGTAAGCTGGTTAAAAGACTATGAGTTTGTTAACTTTTGACTGACCTGCCTAGCGTGAAATCGGGAACTCCAGGGTGGTCCAAAATTGTGAGGACCAGACACTGTGTCGGTTAAAGGACGCATGAGTGGTTTGATGAACAAACCAACTGCAGGAAGTTTTTCAACTCTTATCTCAAAGTACATTCCAGATAGAAATTGGGACTGCCACTTCCCCCGTTAACATCGACCTTCGATGAGGGGGATGGCGCGTGCGGTGCACCGCACACTAAGGCGTGCTCCCAATTTTTCCAAGCCTTCCGCTCTGCCTTTTTCAGGGAATTGAACTTTTGTGTTGCATTTATTTACAACTGGGCATCCACGGTTGTGAAAGTACAGAAATAGCAGAAGATATCAGGTGGAAGAATCCAATGATTAACAATTCTTCGAAGCAACGCCACTCGAAAATCGCTTTTTTAAGAGAATTTTGCTTTATTCTTGGGTGCTCGTCCTTAGAAAGGCTAAGTAGACTACTCGTGTGGCCTTTCTGATCCACTAAGATAGTTGGAGTCTTTAAGTTTTGGGTCCTGGCTGGGTTTGCACATTGATTCTTTCATTTTGGTGTACGAAAGTTGACAGTGGGACAGCAAAGTTTTCTGACAACCTGATAGTTGTCTTGTAGTAGCTTAAGTTTCCGAGTCATGATTCTCGCGATCTGTGGTGGTTCATACTTATGACAGTTGAACTGTTGCCCACATGAGCGCTTTGCTGATACCGTAGACTGCCGCTAGATGTAACAGGTGCCAGAGCCCTTAGCGAGTTCAATTTGAGGAATGATATAAGAAGGGTGTTGCTCTTTCATTGGTTTTGAAATGCGATGAATGTAGTTTTGAAAGAAAGAAACAGTGTTAGTCTAACAGCATGGTGCACAGAAAAGGAAATGGAAAATGGAGCGAGCTCGGAAAAGAGTGATATGACGCGCGTGCGCAACGCGGTCCTCATAACTTTTGGACCACCCTGTATCAGCATAGACGAGATGTCTGCTTGTCGCATTGTTTACAAAACCTTTTATTTGACTGTTGATGAATCCTTTGAACTGTCAAGAGCCAAACTTTGAAAAAGTGGGTTGAGAATGACAGCTAAATCAATGTGCTGGGGGGCATGCCATCCGCGCCTCCATCTCTGGCTGCAAACGCAATCCTTTGCACTGGCAGTCGCGTCAGTTAGCTCCATGGATCTCCTGTTTCGTAACTACCCGAACCAAGAAGATTTCCACTGATAACACTTGACAAATGAGTGGCTTCTTTATTGTGCAGCAATGCACTTACGCGGGCTTATACTGCGGCAGGCGCGGCGAATGTGATGTCTGGGCACCACTACACCGGCATCCAATCTTAGTACTTCACTGGGCCAGGCCACTGAAACAACTTCTATTCTTGTTCATCGAGTTTGTGTGCTTTCAATCCGCACTGCGTCATGGCCACGCCTCTAATAGTATCAATTCAGCATGGAAAATTGCAGTCGTCCAGGAACACCAAACAATTGCTAGTTTCCAAGAACCAATCCATAACAGCCTGAATAGCTGTTACCCTGCCCATAGCTAATTGCCATTGAAGGGCATCCACATTCTCACGTATTTGCAGACGCAGTTTTTGCTTATTTGTTGTCGGCTATACTCTCATATGCTCTGCCCAGTAGTTCCTTCTTGACGTGAGTGTGCTCAAAAACCGCATTTTTTGAGCATACTGCATGTGTTTGCTTCAACGTCCGAATCATCAAGTCTAACATGATGATTGTTCGCAGAATGAAAGCTACATCCTTGAGAAGCCCATTTGTCATCTACGGTTCTCCAAATCCTTATTTACTCGCAGAAAAATACTGGAAACCATCGCCGTCGTACGCATCTTCAGCATCTTGCGCCTTTGGAGGCGTAACCGCCGAGCTTTTATTTTTGGCTTGTCCTTGCAATTTGTGAGCTAGACGTTTACGAGATAATTCGACTTACTACCCTTCTGCTATGACGTCTCGTCTAAGAGACGCCCCGATACTATTGGTGTTGATCACGAAAACCTGTCTTAGTTTCAATCATTCATCATCGGCGTCGTGCGAGCGAACATGGCTGAAATTGTTTCCTTTTGCACCCATTTTCGACTTATGCATTCATGAGCATTGGTAGTCTGTTACATGCCCATCGCAGATGTGACGAAGAGCGTCTGCAAGCGGTTTTACATGAGTGATGATTCGGTGATTAAACAAGATTGAAAACGGTCAGATCCTACTACCTACCAAGTACTAACGTGGGTAAAAAAAAGCGCTAGGCAATGCTTTAACGGTGTTTATGCGATGCCTTTCTGACACCACACAAGACTTTATACCTTTTAGGGAAGTGGGGAGTGAAAGTCAAACAGAATTTCGCCGAACAAATATTGGCAGTTGGATGATGTGTGCTGACAAACTTCCCTTAATCCTGTTTGCTTTTTTATGTATTATATTTATTGATCACGCAACAGAAACTCCGTGATGATTTTTTTCAAGATCACTTCAACGCAAATTGTGGTTGATGATTTATTGAATGCGTCCGTCTGGCAAACTCGTGATGTGGATTCATCTCGAAGAGTGTCAAGAGTTTGTAAGATTATACATACAGAATTTATCAATCTGGGGTACGGGAATCGAAAGTTTCTTTGAAAGTTAATGTATACATATACGCAGTTGAAGCTGTTGAATAGAATTTTCATCTAATCCTGGACGGACTGTGGAGCCAGTTGTCCTCTTATTAGAGTCAACCAAATTGGAACTTGTTTGATCTGTTATTCTTTGAGTCTCTGATCACTTGTTCTTTTTCTTCTGCACTTCTTCGTTAACAAAGTCGATCAACACTAGGTGTCGTGTTTAGTGGCACGCGCCTTGCAGGCGCAGCTCAGAGTTCGTTGACGTGACTCATGGTTGTGTTATGAAAGCCAGCAAATCCACGAACAACATAAGCATAAGGGCAGGAGAAGCACAGCACCACGTGGTGAGATCACTAAGTCCTCGAGAGAGCAGGGCTTCGCCGCAAGAGATGCAGTAGAAAGGTCCGGTCAGAGAGGCAGGTCGAATCCCCGAAGAAGCTGATCGCTCCATCGCCACGCCCTGAAAGCAAAACATGAGTCGCCGTCAATATAGAGAATACTCTCTATGATAACATTTAGTTTTCGTATGACTTAAGCATGGTTGATTGGTGGTTGTGATTATTTCATATGTATTTCATATACATATTGTATTGGTAGATTCTGGATGACTCATCTTGTAAGCTGAGCTTAACGTTATCTGTTAGCTGATCTGTACTGTAGAATGTAATCATAGCTATTGTCCCGCCCATAATCCATCGTATATAAGGACGGTGGATCGCTCTGAGATTCAGTCGGTTTCTTCTTGTGCTCTGCTTCTACATATACGCCCAATAAACTTCTATCGCGTCAGGAGGTCCACGCCTACGAACCACCGATATATGGTGCATCGGACCTAAGCGAACGAAGCCGAGGATCGATCAAGGAATCGCAGCAGAGGATCGGTCAAGGAGTGGTTGAGGAACAAACCCACTGGAACGCGCTTCTATCGGACGAGTGCGAGAAACAAAGGAAGTGAGTACAGACACGATCTCTCGCACACAGTCTTGTCCGTGCATGCTGATAGTCCGCGTACTGCACTACTAACAGAGTGAACGCATCACTAACGGAGTGAAGTGACGCACTTATACGACTAACATGGCTACTACACTGTCCACTAGGCAGGGACTACTAACAAAAGCGCTGAATAGGCTCAATAGTGCATTGGAGGCTAACAAGGATTGGGCACAAGCAATTCTACAACCTCCATCGGACGAGCACGAGCGAAGGATCTATATGAGGACGGAGCGGGCGCAGATCCGAACGGTGAAGGCCATTCTGGAAGCGGAAACGCTCAGTGTTGACGACGCGTTGGGACGCTACAGTAGTGCGGCTGACAGTTTGGCAGCTGATACTCCGTCGTTGGAGGACATCCTCAGAAAGGTCAATTCCAACGTCGAAACGGCCGTAGCTGTTCTGGATTATGGACATACAATGCTGACCGCCCTGAAGCGCCGCCTAGAGGAGCTCGATGAAATGGAAACTCACACAAGCTTCTCAGAAGCCCCTCAGACAAATTTGGCGCCGATTCCTATTCCCAAGTTCAGCGGACGCATCTGGGAATGGGACACCTTCTGGGGAGCTTTCCAGCACTCTGTGGATTCTCGAGAAATAGACGATTTGTACAAGATGAATTACCTCCTTGACGCACTTCAAGGCGAGGCTAAAGAAACCGTCAAGCAGTTCGAGGTGTCTGGTCGCACCTATCCATTAGTCGTCGCCCATTTGAAGGAAAAATACGGAAATACACAGGCTCTTGTAGACCACATGATACGCAGACTACAAAAAGCGCGAGCACAAAGCGAACGGTTGGAACACCAAGAGAAACTCTTGGAGGAGTTGTCGTCGATCGTATCGCAGCTTCAACTAAAAGGAGAGAACGTTGACAATTGTTTTTTGCAAGATCAACTCCTAGGAAAGTTTACAGAAGGAATACAACGTCACGTGTTACGAACTAAGGAACAGCGGTCACCAAACGACAACTGGGACACCAATATGCTTCTCAGCTGTGCGAAAGAATATATCCGGACGGAACTCAAGATCGTAACCCGAGTTGGGAAAAGGCGAGAGCAGCAGCCGGTACAAGAGCCAGCAGGAGACAGGAGGTATCCCCGGACAGGGCGGAAAATCGCCTCAGCTTCGGAACGTCAACACTCCTGCTTCTACTGCGGTAAAGGCGATCATGCAGCAAAGGACTGCACCGAAGTGGCTACACGAGAAGAAAGAATGTCCTTTATGCGGAAACGAAACCTGTGTCTCAACTGTGGCTCTGCAGAACATTGGGCAGGGCAATGCAAAGGAGGAGCATGCAGAATATGTAACAACCACGGCCATCACACCTCCCTTTGCCAACAACTCCCTTCTGCGACGAAGAAACCATCTGCAGCTCACGAATCCAAAAAGCCGCACCAGACATCGAATAGAGCCACTCCCAAGCGGCCTGTTCAGAAATCACTGAATTCATCCAAAATGAACACTGTGGTATCAGAGCCCCAACCATCCGATGAGGTGCCAACCACAGCTGCCTTCGTCAACCTTCAGCGAAGCATAGCTGACGTCCACATTCTCGTGGGACAAGCGCACGTCCTGAACCCAAAGGATCAAGCTCTGGAAGCTATTCATGTACTGCTCGACACTGGGGCCGATCGCTCATTCATCTGTACTGAGCTGGCGGATCGCTTGCAGTTGCGAGATATCAGTTCAACCAAGTTGACTATCAACACATTCGGCTCTAAGCAGCCTCTGCAGCAAACATGCGGAATAACCCAGGTGCAAATGTGGGATTCCTACGGGAAATCTCACAGAATAACGGTTACGAAAATAGGGACTGTCACAGAGCCAATACTAAGACGCAGCCTCAGCGAAGAGGACAGACGATTTCTGCGTGACAACAATATCTGCCTTTCTATACATGCGGATATCATGGAACTCAAACCTCAAGTGCTACTGGGATGTGCGGACCTGTACGCATTTCTTGAAGGAGGCTTCGCGAACCAGAAGACGCTGCCTTCGGGACTGACACTCATTCCTTCGAAACTAGGATATCTCGTGTCTGGATATGAAACACCTCCAGAAACGCATCCTGTGGAACAGCCACACTCCGACGCAGGAGTCAAAACGAGCACGACAGGTTCCATTGAAGACGAACAGGACTGGGAACAGTTCTGCACATTTGAGTCGACAGGGGTTCATGAATTTATTGGGCCAAATGTCGAAGAACGCAAGAACTTGGACAGGCAAGTCTGGAAGACGTTTGAGCAGACTATCGAGAAAAGACAGGATGGCTACTATGTCAGGCTTCCTTGGAAAGGCAATGCCAGAGCACTCCCAGACAATAAAGCAATTGCTATACGAAGACTTCAGGCTACGGTTACGAAGCTCGCCAAAGAACCTGCTGTTTTACAACAGTATCACGATACGATCGTGAGTCAGCATCAGCAAGGTATCATTGAGGAAGTGGACGAGGACAGCCACACAGAAGGACCAATTGTGCACTACCTCGCTCACCATGCTGTTCTCACTCCTCAGAAGGAGACCACTAAACTTAGAGTGGTTTTTGACGCCTCTGCTCATCTGAAAGGAGAACCATCCCTTAACGATGTACTCCATCCAGGACCGGTTATACTGCCGAAAATCTGCGACATTCTGCTTCGCTTTCGACTTGGACGCTTCGCGATTATTAGTGATGTCGAGAAAGCATTCTTGCAAGTCCACTTGCATTGTGAAGACAGGGACGCCACAAGATTCATCTGGCTACGCGATATCAACCAACCGCTGACTCCAGACAATACGGTCATCTACAGGTTCACGCGGGTGACTTTTGGACTCAGTTGTTCACCGTTTCTCTTGGCTGGCACAATTAAGCATCATCTTGACACATGCTTGGTGAATCCCAAACTGGCAAAAGAAGTAGCGAGCAACACCTATGTGGACAATATCATTGTGACGACGTCATCCGAAGAAGAGGCTTTGCAGTTCTACACGGATTCAAAGCAGCTGTTCAACGATCTTCGAATGAATCTACGAGAGTTTCGTTCAAACGATGCTACCCTCAATGCACGTATCGCACCAGCAGACCTAAGCACTAACACATTTCAAAAGGTCCTTGGTATACAGTGGCATTCCGGAACCGATGAGCTTCTTCTAACGTGCCACTATCGGCCCACCTCTGGAAAGTTAACAAAAAGATCTATCTCGGAACAAGTAGCCTCTATCTATGACCCATTAGGACTGCTTACACCGCTCACGCTCCGAGGGAAGCACTTTCTACAGCAGCTTTGGAAACTCGGCTACGAGTGGGACACTCCGCTGTCAGTGGAACACCAGCAAGAATGGCAGAACATTGTAGAAGGAGCAGATGGCTTCGAGATCGCACTTCCGAGAAAAGTTGCTCACATCGACACTCATGTGGGCCTTGTTCTTTTTGCTGACGCTAGTTCGCACGGAATGGCAACCTGCGCATACCTCGTCTCTGGATCAGGCAGCCACATTGTAGCTGGGAAGTCCAAACTTCCATCCATCAAGGACAAGCCGACTATTCCGAAATTGGAGCTTAACGCTCTTACCATGGCGATGAGGCTAGCATATTCAATTTATGGGGCAATCAGGCATCGAGTCCAAATTGAACAAGTATGCGTTTTCTCCGACTCAGAAATAGCTCTCAGCTGGATCAAAACACCGACTTTGGAGCAATCGGTCGGCGTTCTTGTGAGGAACAGAGTTGCTGAAATAAGAAGAATTTGTGATGAGCTCTGCACCACGGTTCTGTTCGGATACGTGAGTACAACCGACAACCCATCAGACTGCGGAACAAGAGGGCTAACTAAGACAGAGTTCGAAGGACACATGTGGTGGCAAGGACCAGAGTTCCTAAAACAACCATCGTACTGGTCAAAAGAATGTCGAATGTTCGCCTTACCAGTTGAACAATCATGCTCGGTCACAACAGTTACAAGGTCCTCATCGGAACTCCTGGATTGGACTCGACACAATCATCTGCCGTCCGTGAAGAGAACTTTGGCGTATGTACTGCGCTTCATCCATCGACTCTCGCTGAAGGTGAATGCGGAGCTGAGAAAACGACTCGAGGCAAGCATTCCAGAACTGCGCCGGATGTCAAGTGATGCGTACATAACGGCCGAAGAGAATGAGATGGCTCAACGAGTGCTCATTCGCCATCACCAAACCACTTGTTTCACGGAAGAACAGCTGAAGGCACTGAAACAACTTAGCGTACGACGAGATGAATTTGGAATTCTACGATGTCACGGGCGATTAGGAAACGCACATATAGCTTTCGACACGAAGCATCCAATGTTGATTGCCTCCAAGACGAACCTTGCGAGAGCAATCGTAAAGGATGCGCATCTTCCTTACCACTGCAGCACAGCGCAGACGATTGCCAATGTCAGACAACGCTTCTGGATACCGAAATTGCGTCAACTGGTGAAACAGGTCCTACGAGTGTGCGTCCCTTGCCAAAGACTGAACAGCCTTCCGTTCAAATATCCCGAAATGGAAGACCTGCCAGAGCGGCGTGTACAGCGAACCCGCCCTTTCAATCACGTAGGAATAGACTATTTTGGTCCAATCATAGCCAAGCAAAATGATGCGCAGACCAAAGTCTATGGAATAATCATCACATGTATGGTCACGCGTCTGGTACACCTGGAGCTCGTTCCAGACATGTCAACGAATCAGCTGCTGAATGCACTGCGTAGGTTCTTCGCGAGAAGAGGGGTTCCTACAAGCATCACTTCGGACAACGGCCCATCGTTTCTGTTAGGCGAACAGATACTCCGCGATGCTGTCCTTCCTTTGATGAATGATACCACAGTTGCAAGTGCAATGGCAGAGAAGGGAATAGCCTGGAAGACAATTACACCGTACGCTCCGTGGCAGGGAGCTTTTTATGAACGCTTGATCAAGTCTGTGAAGCATTCTCTATACAAAGTCATGCAACGTGAAGTGGTGTCTGTGGAAACACTGGAGACACTCTTAGTCGAAGTGGAAGGAACCCTCAATAACCGACCTTTGACGTATCAGGAAGAAAAGTGGGAGGACACCCCAATTCTCCGACCAATAGATTTCATTCAAAGGGATATGGTTGTATCCTATCCATTCGAATCTATCCAAGATAAGTCTGAAGATGACACTTACCACCCTCCGGACGAAGAAATTCAATTGAGGACGCGCAAACAAGCTGAAAAAGCTCTCAACTCAAGCCATCAATTGACAGAACGATTCTGGAAGGTGTGGAGTCAACAGTACCTCAGCAGTCTGCGGGAAGTACATAAGACGTCTATGGACAATAAACGGAGCTCAGCCATACACCCTTCACCTGGTCAGGTTGTGTTGATCTCAGACCCTGCTCTTCCAAGAAATTCGTGGAAGCTAGGAAGAATCATTAGCATACCTAGCTCTAACAGCGAGAAGATCAGAGAAGTGCAATTGAAGTTACCAAGCGGACACATCGTTAGAAGACCAGTCAATCTTCTCGTTCCACTTGAGTTGGAAGATAGCGAAAACGAGCCTCCGCCGTTCGTAACGGAGCCAGAAACTCCAGGCGAACCAGAATCAGCACCTCGATATGAGCTACGACCGCGAAAACGGGTGAACTACAATGAAACTACGACTCATTGCTCGACTGTCCAGTCCTCGACTATGGTGAATGCTCCAGCAAAGGTTCTGCTAGCTTGCGTCACAGCCCTTATGCTGGCTACAAACGTTGCATCGGCTGCCAAGGTAGTTGGGCATATGTCCTGCATCCCAGGAGGAGTGGCAATTACTACTAACGACGTCGAGCGGTATGAACTCTGTGTGGAAGGCAACTGTCACGTAAAAGACAATCCCCACGGAAAGGAAACGATACACTTTCCACCAGAAGTACTTCTACACGAACACCATGTCCAGTTGAAACTTTTTAAAGGACAAAGCCTCAGCCTTCTGGAAGCCTCCTGCTCACCTGCCTCGTTTTGTGAAAATATCCGTTGTTGGATTTGCACCGCTAACATCTTCAACCCGGAGTGTTCCCCACGAGCGGCAATCACGGCGATCGCCTTCATCATATACATTGGGATCGCAGTTGTGTATGTACTGTGCTTCGTACCCGTAGTGATCGGCAAACCGTGCCGTCTCTTCGGTAGAGGAATGTGCAACTTCATCAAGTTCACTGCACGCGTAGTGTGGCTACTCTGCCGCAAATTACTATTCCACCGAAGACAACTGGCTCGAAGATACGATGTACAGGAATTCTTGAACACGCCTCTTCTAGCCGTCATTTCTGTCATCACCTTTTCTTCGCTTACGTTGTCTTGTCAGGATATCGACGTTTTCTTCTACCACGACTCCATCTGCACTTTCGCTCCAAGTGGGGTCAAGCGATGCACTCTCGAAACTACGGAAATCATCAAACTCAATACCTTCAATCAAGAAGCGTGCATCCGGCTCACCAACCGTCAAGCAATGGAAAAGGAGATACGAATCCAATGGAGAGGACTCCGCCTTACATGCGTCAAAGAGACAATCGTATTTACTCGGAATACTCGCCAGAAGGTGGTAGACTCTAAGCGATGCGCTCACGTGGGGTCATGCGTTGATGATAAATGCGCATCCATCAACACGTCCTCACTTCTTCCGGAACTTGTCCAAGGTAACCAATTTCCTGGTATGACCATGTGCGTGGAAAGCTGTGGAGGTATCGGATGTGGATGCCTTGCTTTGAGTAGCGGATGCCTTTTCTATAGGATCTTCCACGTGCCTCAAGACGAGAAGATTTACGAAATTTTCAAGTGTTCTCAATGGAAAGAAGAAGTCGAGTTAGAGATCACGACCATCTCCAAGCGCACCAGGACGACCAATAAGCGGCTGATAAGAGTTCAACCGACTGTACCGATCAATTACAACAAGATGCGTATCACCCTTACCAGCCTCTCCTTTCCGCCCACTCCGATGTTAGCGTCATCTTTCATCTCCGACGGTTCTCGAATGGCTCTTTGGAATCACAAGGAAATACCACACTTCCTTTGTGACTCAGAAGAACAAGCTAGGTTGCTCAACTGCACCGTCACCACAAATTGTAAATGCGAACCGGCAGAGAACAAAGTGACCTGTGTATGCACCGATTTCTACTTCACAAGCGTCTTTTCAAAAGAAATCGAAAATCGCTTTCCAATACGGCGCCCTTGGATAACATTTGCGACAGCAAAGGACGATGCATCCGCAGTCGTGGCTTGGATTCCCTCATTTACCACAACGGAACTCTTAATACATCTGAAGGAAGAATTTGACAACACCATAAAGATGGTAACGGACTCCATCTGCACTGTTCCCAATTCCATCGCGAAAGGATGCTATCATTGTCCGCAGGGAGCGACCGCAGAAGTAACGTGTACAACAAATGGCAATGCTACCATGGCTACGGTAGTATGCGAGGAGCAGTCCTTCACTATTCCGTGTCAAGGAACAGGATCGACGTCAACTTTGCGGTTCACTCACTCGTCAGCGAGAGTGATGAAAAATTGCACGGTTTCATGTGGCACCGCTGAAACAACCTTCGAAATCACCGGGGTTCTTCAGTGGGTCCGGACGATCTACGGATCAGCAACGAAAGTCATCAACAGTGAAAGCAACGTGTATGATGAGCTGATATTTCCAGATTTTGGACACATTTTCGACGTGATCCTCCACTGGTATAAGACCGTCATCATCGTCCTCATCATACTTGCACTCGCACTGATACTTGGATACATACTCCTGTGGTCCTGCGGGTGCACCATCATAGGCTTGATAGGACGCATGATGCTGAAGGTTGCCTGGGGATTTGTATTCATAATACTCCTTGTGATAAGATCTGCATGGAAAATGGCATTCATGAGGTTTCGGAAACCTAACAAAGGACTGGATAAACTCCTTTGAGATCTCATCTACATCTACGCGGAGATTTTACCTGTCGCATGGAGTTATCTACCAATTTCCGTTTCTTACTTTAGTTTCGCATATTTAGCCATGGACAAGCCAAAGAAGACGCCATCTACCACTGCTGAGACGAATACCACTGCCACTGCACCATCTGTACCGGGAGCAACACCGCAATCCAAACCGAGAGTACCGCCGAAACGGCCAACTCCCGCAGCGAAGCCAGCGGCGACGGCTGGGGTCGAACCCACCTCCACGCTCAAGCGCAAAAGGGACACGTCGTCGTCGTCCTCGTCTTCATCATCGTCGTCATCGGACGAAAGAGGTCTTCCTCCTAAGAAGGGTCGCGCTTCTGGAACAATGCTGAAGGAACTTCTTCAACAAGGAAGTCGGATTTTGCGTTTAGCCGCATGCAAAGTCGACCAGCTAGCTCCTGCCGTTACCGTCACTTCATCAGAAGAAAGCATGCAGTACCTTAAGCGTTTCGAACAGTTGCTGCAGACTCATCACGTACGGAGCGAAACTGCACAAAAATCAATCGAAGCTAAAATCGACACGCTGATGCTGAAGGTGGACACGATCACGAATCGCCTTGATCGAGTAGAGCAAATGATGAAGGGAACCGCTACTGCTTCTGCATTGAAGGAACAGTCGTCGGTGGAGCAAACTCGATGGAGAGAGCTTCAGATAGAGATTCAAGGACTGCAAGCTAAAGTAGACGCACTGAACCTCCCGCAGCTTCAAAGAGACATGGACGAACTGAAGGCAAGTCTCAAGGAGCTGAATTCCCAAAATGTTGTCGATGTGGACTCGCAACCAAATGCCGCGAGGGAGCCCTCCTCCGAGATGGAGAGGGTTCTGCGACAGATGGGTGAGACTGAACGAGAGCTCAAAGAGGTCAGGGATGCGATGCTTGAAGTGAACCAGTCAATCGAAAGAGAACGGCGGGAATGCAAAGGAAGGAGCGGCTCAACAAGGACGATCGATGATCTAAAACAAAGGAGATCACGCCTTCAAGCAAGGGAGGATCGGGTCGAGCGAGAGATGAGGGACTTGGAGCGCCGACTTGAGAGGGAAGAGGCCCTGCGCAGCCTCAGTCACTCGAGAACACGTGAGCATTCCGAAGAAGCCAGAAGAAGTTGTGATTCTCGCAGCACCGGGAGAGACCAGGACGCACGCCGAGGACAGGAGAAACGACGCAGTTCGACAAGATCGACGGACCACCAGCACAGACGGCCCAAGTGAAATGCCTCGTACAACAGTGGTCGAACCTACTCGTCTCGGCCGGGAGTATAGAGAATACTCTCTATGATAACATTTAGTTTTCGTATGACTTAAGCATGGTTGATTGGTGGTTGTGATTATTTCATATGTATTTCATATACATATTGTATTGGTAGATTCTGGATGACTCATCTTGTAAGCTGAGCTTAACGTTATCTGTTAGCTGATCTGTACTGTAGAATGTAATCATAGCTATTGTCCCGCCCATAATCCATCGTATATAAGGACGGTGGATCGCTCTGAGATTCAGTCGGTTTCTTCTTGTGCTCTGCTTCTACATATACGCCCAATAAACTTCTATCGCGTCAGGAGGTCCACGCCTACGAACCACCGATATACACGATACCCAACCGTATATACCAATGAATAGCTTGATGTGCCCTCAAGTTGTCTTACCACACGTCTCAAGGCACTCCGCCGGGCCGCACACCGCTACACAACAACTCGACCATAGTTATCAAATTTCAGATGGCTCACGCAACGCGCCTCTTGGTAAAGGTATAATCCGAATTCTTGACGGAAACAGTCCTCAGCTGGAGCCACATTTTTTCCGCCGCTCCGGCCGCCCCCACCGCTTGCAGCGCGTTCGTGCATTCTATCTTCTACGCATGGCGCCTTTCACTGCAAGTGTTCCTTACGCTGCGAAGATTCCCAATAATACGAAACAAGATAAACCTCTGAAATCTCGGGCAAGTAATGCCGCGAATCAAAGCCAACGTACGACGCACCCCGAAGGAAACGCCGTGCGAAAGACGACCGACCGCTTCTCTCTCTGCCATTCAAGAGCTTTGTAGGCCTCCTCATAACCGATTTAATCTAGCAAGGACTACCGATTGACGCACGTGCTTTTCTCGTTCGCCGTACTGGTAGTCGTTTACGGTCTGGGGAAAATGAGCTCATCTTATGGCCCCGTCACTTCCGACGCACATCGTCGCTTTGTGCTAACTCGGAAACAAGACACCATATGAACCACCGGACATTCTACAAAGAACAGGCTTTACGCTGGATCAGTTACGGCGGTTCAATCTCTCTCCTCTCTATCAGCCCAGGGGACGTTAAGATCGTGCCCATGCTGGCATCTCTAAGACACCAGAGAGGGCACAGTTTATCGGCTAACTCTTGCAACAATACACGTTACCGACCAACTCGGTGACAAAGGTTGCAGTCGCTCAGCTCTGCAAGCACACTTACGACTGCCGATGCCATTGCTCGCGGCGAAAATTCCCACGCCCTTTTCCCAATCTTGTGTGTGGCATAACGGTCTCTCACGACCCAATGCGCATATTTATTCACCCTGCGGCTCATGGACTCTGTGCCGAGACTCGCACTGCATAGTCTTGCCGTCTTTGAATTAAGTGTTCATTTTTACTCGAACTTCAAGTAAACACATTGCAAGGTCGGCGCGGGTTTTGGCTTCTTACCGCTGCCCGACGACGCCCAAAAGGCGGTTTGCCGTTCAGGACCACGCAGGAGCGCGCAGTCCGCCGCCCCCTCGCCGCGCTCTCTCAAACACACCCCTTTCGCGGAACACCGAACCTAACGGCCATGACCGAATATTGTGCCTACCTAGGTTCGTGTTTCCGAAACAAGGAACAACTCCATGGCTTAGCTCTTCGCAATCATCAGGACTAGAGCCGAGGTAACGGCTCTCTGCCACTTTGCGGACACTCGTGGACGCGCAAAGCTGTGACGCTCCTGTCAATCAATTCACTGTCAAAGTTATACAGCACCTACGCAAGAGAACTTTCGAGGCTGAAAATCTTTTTAAGGAACGGCTAACGTGCTTTTGTCACGCCGCTACCTCCTTAAAACCACAACTAATCTGCGCTGCGAACTGCAAACGCAATGCTTTCAAGCGGCGTAATCCGGCGAGCCGCTCGTACCATATGACGACATTCACAAACAGGCGGCTGTCCAAGGCAGAATGCAGGTACTTGTTTTCTATCACTATTATCAAGTGATTAATTGTAATTACGCATCGTCCCGAGCCTTTAGTCCCACGATGCACACGCCCTAGCCCTCTCCGCGCTGCATTCGGATTCTTAACTAAATGCTTCATAGCAGATCATAACCTTTCATTCATTCATGAGATCATCGCAAACGAGTCTGTTTGGGGTCAAACTTGTCTACGAAAGTGAAAACGATCAATTTGGCCGGTAAAGATGGAGATTTCCTGGCCTTTGAGACTGGAAACCACTGCAGTCTTATGACAATGTACCAAGTCTTGTCGCTAAAGGTTATTGCTGACCCTTACCAAACAGTACAAAACTGACTTGTCCCCGATACGCTTCAGTGCAACAACATGAACAAGCGCTATTCGCAAACAGGATTCGCAGCGCCTCAAAATTGAATTCCCTTGAATAGTTCATTTGTGGGTAACGGATTAACTCCGTGCGATGTCCGTGCACGGCCGAGTGGAGCTCATGTCAGTGGTTTCTATTCAAACCTGGTCTGGTCAGATTCTTTCGGAGGTCAATCCTGTATGTGCTGGGCAATATTTGGAGATTCCATTGACCATATTGCTTTTCAAGGCATATACCATGGGCACTCAAGAGTGCAACCCAGGCAAAAGTCATGCGAGCGAATCCTTCGATCCGAAGGGTAGACCATACAGGACAATCACACATGTAACATCTCCGTGCACGGGAATCACCCGAGAAGATCGCTAGGGCCTTGTAAAGTAAGCTGCAGCAGCTGCAATTTTCTCCTCTTCTATTTGGCTGTTGTCTGCCGCCCTCTCGTCTTTTGCGTTCTCTCGCCTCATTCTCTCGTTTCCGTGCATAGTTTCTCATAGCTAAGACGACCGATCACGAAAGTGAGTAAGCCCTCAACCTAGGTTTTTTGACTGAATTTTTCTCCTCATGTCGGCCCATTTCGGCAATAAACAGCAACAACCACACTAATTTGATCCTGGGGTATACCCTTAAATGCTATCATTGTGAATGAATGAAAGTAGGGGTACGATGCCACCCACGATGGAGATCACTATTGTAAATGTTTAAGGAATGTTCAAGACTGACCAAGTGTAAACCTCGATCGTGGTTCTCTCGGTCATGGGCATTTTTGCTTTGGTAGGAGGAGAACGATGGGGAGATAATACTGGGTTGATGCACAATTGCGGTTTTTTTCGCGCATTCTCTTTTCGAAAAGATTAGCGTTTTGTTTATTATTTTTTTATGAGAGTATTCCTCTCTATTTCATTTGCAACATGCTTATTCGAAAATCGTCTTCATTTCGCCACATATTTCTATACTGGGCGGAAGTGGTGTAGTGGCAAGTGGAACGCTTACCACGCGAGCGGTCCGGGAATCAAATCCTGGGTCGTGAACAGGGTGAAAATCGTGTCGAGGACGTGGTCGCCGAAGTACGACCCCTCCCCCCAAATCGAGGTCCTGGCACGACCCCCTTAAACAGAACATATTAAATTCAATTGATTATAAAAAAAATCCTGCAAAATAATATTATGGACGCCTCATCTTGTCATCTGTGCACTGCCTTTCATCGCTGCACATTTTTGTGTATTGACTGAAATATCGACTCGAGGAAAGAGGCATCAACTTTGTTTGACCTCATAGTCAGGTTGGTTCAGAAATGCACAGAAATCTTGAAGGGGGGCTGCGATTTAATCTTGATTCCTGCTTGAGTATATCACAACAGCCGAGTGCATCAATCAACGGCCGATTCAGCGGCAGCTGCGGCGCGATTGTCACTGGGTCAGATTTGCTGAAATCCCGAAAAAAACCGTCGAAATCTACACCCTCGATGAAAAGGTTGCATTCCTCCATTTCATAATCTTAGAAGCACTTTGAGGTGGGTTACGAATAGAGCTCGGATCTTCGCGTTTTCCCAAGAACTAATTGTAATCGCTCTGAAAGCCTTCCATGCAGAAAGATAGGGTCTCAAATTTCGTCCGAGTAACGTCGAGGATGCTGAATTTTTTTTAATGCTGTTTGCCACTTCAAAAGCAATATCTCTCTTAAAACGTGAGATTCTGCAAAAGTGAAGAATCAGTTCTGGAAAGCGAAGGTTTGCGCTCTCTGAAGGTTTTTTTTTAGCTTTCTTCCTGCATTTCTAGTTTGAGGAAGATACTTACGTCGATCTCTATCAAGATGATTCTCGTCCGCTTCAAAAAGCCGCTCCCTTCTTCACCTTTGCAAAGTGCAAGTTGTAGGCAATCGCTTGGAATGGGTCTAGAAACGCATCCTTCAACATAAGCAAATAGAAAAGGGGCATCGTCATCATCGAATTCTGTCTGAGTATGAGCGCATGCGTCCGACCTCACTCGATGTTGGCAGAACTCGATTTCGAAGGTGATATGGTCATCGACCTAGTTGACGCAGGCTTGCATTGTAGTAAACGCATTTCCTAGACTCGTACACCTAAAGAAGCAACTCCGCATCTGTCCCAGGGCTCTTTCCTTCAGCGGTGTGTCTTCGGCGACATGGTCCTAAGCACCATGTGTCATTCTAGCGAGGTCTTACGGGGATGCACTCCGTTCTTGTACTGCCTTCAAATACGTGCCCTCCATGGTAGAGGAATGGAGGCGAATGAACCTTTCAAGAAAATTTCTATATTATATCATGGGTTTTTTTTTTTCAGATAGGTTTTTTGATGGTTTCTGCTGCCTACACCCTCTGTTACTCCTATCCGTGCACCACGATAGCCGCCTGTTGTATAACCCCCAAGCGTACGACGCCCCGGCATGGGATCCAGCCTGTCAAGTGCGCCCCCCTGTCCGAGGATTTCCTCGACCGATATTCACACCTGCCCTACAGACTAGCTTTCCCACGCGCGCGGGCCCTAAACCCGATCCATTGAAGACGCTACTGTGTTACTCGTTTACTGATCCGCCGCGTCTGATAACTGCGTGCGGTTTCTCGCCTTGCGCTTACGAGAGTATTAGGTGCCTGTCAGGCGATGGCTCTAGCTACGTGTTCATTTTCTCGGATCCTGACATGGGATGCCAGAACGCTGGCT